GCTATTGCAATTTTGCTAATTTAATAATTTAAAATCTTTATTTTAATACAGGAGCATTCAAATGATACATTGAATTTTTTTAGCTTCCTATTTTTATAAATTTTGGCTGTTTTACATCAATTTCCTACCTATGCCTTCAGTTTAATGTTACCTCATAAAATATGTGTTTTTTTGACATTTTGAAAGTGAAAACTTAAAATACAAAAAAATGTAGATGAATAGAATAAACTATAAAACAGTCGCAAAGTAAGGCACTTTAAAGATATCTTAATGATTCTCTCTGAAGATAAGTATCATTTGTCCAAGTCAGAAGCATCTGGCCTTTGAGATAAACATCCCATTACAGCTGGAACCTCATAGACAGACCTACAAATGATTACAGGAGCTGTTTTTCTTCCTCTAGCAGCTGCCTCCTCAGTCAAGCACTGAAGATCATGCTGTGAGGTTGCAGTGCACTGTGATGACAATAGTAAGAGATCAAAGGTGTAATCTCAAAAATCCCTCGCTCTCTTTAGTTTTCCTTTGAGGATATTGTATTTTTGAATTTATATGTATGTGTTTGAGCACATTTCTTGAGGTAACCAGTCCTACATCTTATTTTTTATTCAGACTTCATGGGTGTTCTCTGCAATTGTCGAGGAGTTAGTAAACTAGTTGTATTTATTCTCTAGATCTGTTCAATAAAGATCTGTTAAGATATTGCCTGTAGTTCAACAATTATTCAAATGAATTGCCAGATTCCCTTAACTTACTCTAAAAGCAGTTACCTGACCTATTCAAAATTTATCTTTTCAAATTCATTCCCATGAGCTGTTCCACCAATCTATATGTTAATATTTAAAGTTTCTCATTAGCACAAAGTCATCTAACTTTTCACACCTGTGATTCTCCTTAAACATCTCTAGCTCAGATGTAGCATTATGAGTACAGATCTGTGTTGCTGCTGTTACAAGAGGACTCTATTGGAGAGGCTTACCTAATTTGTCTTACGAAAAGACTTCTGAATCCTTCAGACCTCACCGTCTCAACCATGCACTGAAAGTAATGTTCTTTTTCACTGTTTTGCAAAGGGAATGAGAGCATTTTTGGAAAATACCTGGGTTTATCTCTCATCTTCGACAAAAACATTCTGTCTATAAACTAATGAGGGCAAAATTCTTGAGTCTTATCAGAAAATCTCAAGCTGGCTTTCTTCATAGTCACAGATTTGTTGTATAGAACCCATTTTGTAATAATCTTGAGGAGCCAGGTATCTTCTGTTCACTTCTAGCAGGTACCTTAGGTTTTCATGGCTAAAGAAAAAGACCACATTCACTCACTCATCTAGCTATCTACAAATATTCAGTGATTGGTTTCCCCAGGACTATTTAGTTGGTCTTTCCATTGCACCACCATGAAGGTTCCCTCCACCCTGACTTTTTGCACTTTGGAAGAATATTTATAAACCTTAAAGATAAGAACCATATCCTCTTATGTTGTCTAGTACCTTACTAGTTCTTACTAGAACATGAGTATTGGGGTGGGGAGATGGGACGTATTAGAACTGATTAATTATTCTCCAAGATTTGTCTCAGTATTTATTGTGGTTCACATTTTATTGGTGGAGAAACATAGTGGGATAGGAGTGGTTTGTAAATCATGCACATACATATATAATATGAAACACTGGAAGTTGGAAAATAAAAGTTAAAAATGCCACATTTTTCATCCATATTATCCACCTTGGTATAGGAGTTGAGATGGAAAGAGTTTGAAGAAAAGGACAATGTTGTGTTAAAAAAGATTGTTGTGATACATTGGAAAGCCCAATGATGTGTCTCAGAATTCAATTAAATTAAGAGTTTAGGTAAGGATTCCAAAGGATTAAATAGGAGTAGGGCTGTTGTTCTTCTAGAAATGGAAAGTTAAATTAAGAATTGAGGTAGGATTCCCAAAGAATCTTTGAAGTCGAAAAAGTGTATTTTGGAAAAGAATTAGCATAAATGATTTTTAAGAAAGTGAAGAATCACAGTAAGTACCTTCTTTAGGCCAGGCATTTGACATATTCTCATGTAATTGTCAAAGTGAGCCCAGAGGTAGAAAAAATTGGTTTGTTTTGTCCCCAAAGAAGCTCAGACTCAGGAAAGTAAAGCAACCAGCCGAAGGGCATATAGCTCATGCTCTTTCATCTACCTTAAACCATTTCTATGAATAACCAATCTGTTCAAATATTCATGGAGCCGAATAATGTTGGTATCTCTACAATATGAGTTAAGAGTCAGGATTAACTGTGAATTTCAGCATTGGATTGCTAGGCAACCGTGAATCAATCAACAGTGCTCTCTGACCACCTAATATGGAAAAACGATGGGATACTGAGAATTCTGTAGGAAAGTAATATCTTATTCCTGAGATGGATAGTATTTTTCTCAGAAAAGAGAAAACAGAATGTAAATAAATCTATAGCAAAATGTATACACCCATAGAAATGTGGATACACCCTGAACCATTTAGTAAGCAATAAAATGTGAAGGAAGTGACTGCTGACTGATGCAGGAGTGACTGGAATTAAAGCTAGTCTATATATAGAGAGGTCTAGAGTTAATTTTTTATAGAATTTAAACATGATGTAGGTGTTTATTATGTGCTAGATATAATAAATTAAACACCATTAATTCTCATCAACCTTGTAAAGTAGGTGGATTATCCTGATTTTCTTGGTGCTGAAACTATGGCACAAAGAGGTCAAACAACTTGTCCAGGTTTCTACAGCTTGTAAGTGGCAGACGTGAGATTTGAACTGAAGCAGTACCAGAGTTGCTACTCTTACACTGAACTTAAGCCTTCAGTGTCAGTGTGCCATGGAAGAATGTGAGCTATACTTATTTGGAGACATAAAGATTGTCATTCCTAAACCCTTGATGTAAGTTTTATATGTGAAAACACTTCCCCATTATTCTCGGAGTAAATTTATTAATTTATTTAATTGATATTTATTGAATACCTACCATGTGTGATATATTGATCGCACTGGGGTAAATCTGTGAACAGGACAGACAAGGACTCAATGCTTTCCTACACAGAAAGTACCAGGCACTCAATACATATTAACGATGCATCACAATGCTTTACTTTCAAAAATATATAATGCACATTTTTATTAGCTTGGATAAGATACCTACAGTAGAATCTCCTTAATTCAAAATTACCCTTAAAAATGACTACCATTCATCAAAAGTAGTAAGGTTTGGGAGCTTCCTATTTAGAACCAGAGGAGCAGTCCAAACACCCTTATAGTCTCCCAATGACTTTCTGAATGGAGCATTAAACTATGTATCTTTGTAATAGTTACACTTTGACAGTATGGTAAACCACTCTAATCCATTTAGGCACAATTTACTCCCACTGCCCCAACATTGCTCATTATATATTTGTTCAGTGTCTTCTATGTGGTAAGAATTAAGCAATTAGTTATCAAATGATGTTTGTAATAATGTGGAGGGTAAGGTATTCCACATTAAAGCAATTCACAGTGCCGTTACGATCCCATCCCCAAATTACTAATCATTTGCCAAATTTAATCAGTCTTTTTTGCCAATGCTGTTTCCCTGATTCTAAAGGCCCACATCTAAAAATCATCAAACTGCAACCCATTAAAATGAATGTACATTCTAGAAACTGCTAAGGTAATCCACGTTTTAATGAGAAGGGCAAGGCTGTAGGAGTATTTCCATTCCCTTGCCTTTTATATATACTCCCTTACCTGCTCTCTGGAGTGGAGGGGGAGAGCAGTGTTGGGCTCCACAAGGACCCCCTTCCAGTCCGCTGCCTCAGCTTGCACACTGGGGACCCCCATGGCACGCCATAGGGGCTCTTTACATATATGCAGTTTCGTGTATGCCCGTGTATGGGTGTGCTCTGTAGGCATGGTGTGAGCCCACGTTGGTCTTCCTCTCCCCTTGACCCCTAGGGAATCCCGGCAGTTTCCAGGAACTCAGGGAATGGGAAGCTGAGGCAAACAGCCCCTTTCCCTTCCCTGGTGGCTGGCCACAGTGGGCCCAGGAATCTGCAAAGCCTCGTCTCTTAAGCAGTTAACAACGGGAGACTGAAAAGACGAACGACAGGAGAACACATGAACGAGGACGGGGCCATTGTACAAGAGATGATGCTTCGGGAGCTACTCAACTGTGATTTTTCTGTTTTTACATGCAAAGCCCTAGGAAGCCGGAGGGGAGGCAAAGA